GATGGTGCTGAATATACATTTTCGACCTGGTTTGCAACAATTGAGGAAGATAAAATATATGAAGCCGAAATAGCCGAAGAACATGTCAAGAAAATTTTAAATACAATAGATAATGATAAATTTCTTATAAGGATAAAGTTTATTCGACCAGATTATGATAATTTCAAAATTGTTGACAAATATGAGCCCATACGTGAGTTAAAAAAGGTTGGTAATAAATTTATTTCAGGGGTCAAAATGTTGTTCTTACAAAGAAAACAAAGCCAGGCTTCTGGGTTGGAATCGATAATAAATTTTTAGTTAGAGCAATTCAAATTAAAACCTCTGATTTTGAAATACTTAAAAATAATGCAGTTGTTTATGGACTAGTAAATGATTAATGCCCATGAAAGATGGTGCACTTAATTGTGTAGCTTAGCGAATAATAGAGCATTTTGAAAAAGCAAAAAGAGGACATGGTCTGACTAGTATACGTAAGCAAAAAATTGATACATGGGAAAAAAGAATGTGTCAGCCTGATGCTCGGGTAGAGGATGTAGCAGAATTAGAAAAAATACTTAAGAGGCCAATCAAATTGCTTGATATTACTCATGGGACCATTTTTAATAGTGAAAAATATTGAACAGGTAGGTATAAAGAGATTGAGATAGTAGTTCATAATGGCTATGCATTCCCTAGAAACCATCATTTTCCAAGAGATCGAATAGTAGAATATTATAATGATAATGCATGGAATACTATCAATAAAGCTCTTCAAGATCCACAAGGCAATATGGCTTATTGGACTCGAACTTGGAGAAGGCAAAACACTAGAAGAAATCCAATCAGTATCGCAGTTTGTTCTAGAAGATGGTTGTACATTTAGGACATGGTAAAGTATACAGATATTGTAAAAGCATGTAAAGAATTATTTGAGGATGCGGTAGACTGGCAACTTCAGGAAGGAATAATTAGTGAAGAAAAAGAGCAGGAATTTCTAGAATCACTAAAAAATAGTTGAGTTAGCAGAGCAGGTATTTGGAGCAAACCATGCTGGAAGTAAACTTGCCAATAAAATTAATAATTGGCATCTGACTCCAGCTAGCATACATAAAAATATAAAGCAATCTTGTGTTGAGTATAGGTATAGAGGACGCTGGAATACACCTAACTATCAAGTCAAAGAAGTTGTATGTATAGATATAAAGGAATATTACCCAGCAAGTATGTATGGTCAAGGAGAGTGTTTACCATGGTTTAAGCTATTTGGACATCCAACACATCATCTTGTTCGAGTAGCAGTAAATGGAAAATTGCCACAAGATGATATAACTAGATTTGTACAGATAAGATCTTTCAAATTTGTTCTTTATATTCATCCAGCAATTCCTGTTTGGTATGGAAAACACTTTGCTTGTCAAAGTGGAGAAGAATGTGGGAAGGTAAAAGGCTGGACACCTATTGTACTTCTACGATATCTTCTCGAAGCAGATATCCTAAAAAGTGTAACTATAGGAGAAGCTATTATTTCTCTTACCAAGCAAAAGAATGTATGGTTGTCTAAAAATCGGGATATTAGTTGTGCTATCATAGGAAAGTTCACGCAGTGAAATAAGGTTGAAGAAAAATGCCTTACTTATCGAGTTGTAATAGACGAAGGAGAACTTGATTTCTTAATTCAGGATTGTATTAAAGAGGGAACATATGCTGGTAGTGATAAATGTCCGCTTGGGCATATACTTACATATTACGAGAGTCATCAGCCTTAATATACACATTTGCGAGCTTCAATGTTAGCTTACGCCCATATAAACTTACTGGAAATGTTTCGAAGATTTGGCCCTAATGAAGTAGTAAGAATCGCACAGATTCTATATATATATGGAGAGAGGCCTTATATAAGATCGAAAACGTATCTGCCTTCTTTAAGCAAGTTAAGCAAAAGATTAGCTATCCCAAAGATTCGGTAAATACTAGTAAATTTCTATGTCTACACGACTGGTATTTATATGCAGTGTGTAACAACCCATCGTTTATAGAATCGGTTAAAGTATTCCAAAAAACTAAAATGCCTTTAGCGGTAGGAGAATATTTTTCATATAGCAAACATAAACCATTTGTTTGTCATGATTGCTTTTGGGATTGGTATGTTTATAAAGGTTTTTGGGAAGTTATCCCTGATAAGAAGCCATCTAGCAATACTAGTATAGCCATTACTAAAATATCTGAACCTCTAAAAGAAAAATTCTTTCAGAACTGATTAGAGAAATACAGTCTAGACAATGGCGTGATAATGGAGAAAAAATTTATGGTCCAGATCCTAATGTTGTATACTGGGCAAAAAATAGGCATTGGGAATCGATTAAAGATATTATCGAAAGTACTGCTTCATCAATTCATGATCCTATTACAAGATCCCGAGTTTTTTATCTCAATGGAGGTGGTGGTTCTGAAAAGACAACATGTGCAATTCGAATCTTCAAAGATATAAACATGGTTGTTTTCACCCATACAAATGTGCTAGCTAAAGATTTCCAAAATGACCATAAAGTAAAAGCCCAAACTTGGCATAGCTTCTTTAGATGGAATGGCATAGGAGAATAGACACCTGAACATATAGGAGAAAAGAAATTTCCACGAGTTGTTATCTGGGACAAGATATGCACAGTGCCTAGGCATATTTTCAAAATGTTTATTAACTACTTACTAGAGCAAAAATATCAGGTAATCTGTTGTGGAGATGATGCTTAGCCTCCACCATTCTTCGGAGAAATGCCTTATAACTAGTTAAAAGAGCAAGCTAATTACTATAAGAAAGTCTTAACTGACTATCAGGCCAAATATCCTAGATTACAAGAGCTTAAGAAAAAAATGCGATGCCAAAATAACAGAGTGCAGTCAGACTTATTCCATGAAGCACTTCTGAATACAGAAAAATGGGAATATCTTGAAGCTAAATGGAAGCCATTAGATCGTATCTTATCAGCACATATACTTTCTCAGAGAATTGCTTCCCAAAAATGCTTAAAAATTCATCAAGTAAAATATCCTGAAATTCCAATCCCATTAATTTATAGGCCAAAAGATGAATGCAAACAGAATTGCCTTGTTCAAATTCTCGGCTTATCTGAAAAGAAGGAGTTAGTAAAAAATGATATAGTATATTTGCCCTTAAATACACTTCCTGACAAGTTCTTAAAAGATATTAGTAGATAAAAAAGTCATAGATTAGGAACTCGGATACACAATGACCATTCATACTAGTCAAGGAATGACTCTTAAGTCACCACAACGTGTTTGGGTCATTGATAAAAATCTAGCCTGGGATAATCTAATATATTTGGCAGTTGGTCGTGTAAAATATTTAAGCCAACTCATTCGGGTTGAAGCACCTCCATTACCTCCTGAAATTGCCCAAAAGATTGAAAAGGCAAAAAAGAAAAAATGGCTAAAACACGAATTGAGGCCGTCTATTCAAGAAAAACATATCAGATATATGGGCCAGGATAAAGAAAAAGGCTGTGAATTTGATCTAACAGTCGACTATATCCTTACATTAAAACATATTCAAGAAGACAAATGCGTATTATATCTTATTAAAATGAAATTTGAATAGGATCGGCCAGAAGATATATCCCAGTGGACAGTAGATCGAATCCACAATAGTTTAGAGCATATTAAAGAAAACGTATGCCTCACTTGTCTTCTTTGCAACCGAAATCATAAAGTCTAGATCATGGCAGTGATCCAGATGCTTACATAGCTATTATATATTATTTTTTTTTTTAAAATAAAAAATATTTGCAAAATACTTTTCAAACTTGAAAAGTTGAAATATAAAATTAAGATGCCATGTGAAATTCTTATTAAATAAAAGTCTTAGTTAATAAAATCCATGTGTTTAAAATATAAACATGTCTAATATTCAAGATATTTTTGAGAAATGAAAAAAAAATAATTATACCCGATACATGTTATCTGAATATGGCTTAAACTATATTAATAATTTAAAAACACCAGAAGCTTGGCTACAATTTGCAAAATATTATCCACCTAAATATATACATAAATGTTTATTTATACCAGAACATGAAATAAAAGGTAAGAGCTATTGGAGAAACTTTGTATTCCATATTAAAAATAATTTAACCAGAAGAGAATATATAGCCAATAACTCTAAATTTAAAGAATTTAAAACCCAAGTAGCATATTTTAAAACTTTGTATATAAAAACTCGACCGGCAATTATCATCCAGCGAGCATATTGTTTATGGAAAAACCGAATAAATTCAGCTAAAATATCAAGCGCGCAGTGAGAAAATGGCTTTATCGACCAGGTGGCACATTAATGAAACATGCCCAAGATCGGTATTATCAAAATGCTAATAAACTTGAGAATTGCCAGTAGATTGAGTGGCTCAAGGAAAGTAATGTGTATAAAGAAAAAATCAAATAAATAGTTAATCTGTCGACTTTTTTTTCCAGAAAGTTCCGGTATAATATATATTACGAATCTTTGAATTAGCATTACTCAAGTCAAACTAATGTCCCTGGTGTTAGAATGAGATAAGAATAGAAGTTTGCGCCTCTAATTTGTGAATCGTTCATAATAGCCAGTGAAGATCGAGTGGTCCCGGTTTTTCTGTCCAAATCGAATTATTATTGCTTTATTTCATTCGGTTAACATATTACTAATTTGTAAATCGTTCACGATTGCTAGTAGATCGAGTGATCCTAGTCCATACTAAATAATTCGTGAATTAACAGATCATCAAACCTGAAATTAGTTTGAACATTGATAATTTGTGAATCGCTCACGATTGTCAGTAAATCGACCAGTTCTTGGTTTATACTAAATAATTCTTGAATAAACGGATCATCAAATTCGAAATTAGTTTTTATAAAATTTGAAAATTATTTTTTTTAGTCGTGGAAGTGTCTATATATAAAATGAACCATACTTAACTTTCAGAGTTTTAATAATTGAGTCCTATTCAAATTTACTGATATGGCCAGCGAAGCTTTGCCAAGTTCAACAGATGATCATACAGACAATGTTAATGCTTCCCAACTCAAAGTGCTTTCATTAAATTACCTAAGAAACGGAAATATAACTAAAATCCCTGATGCTAAGAATATTCCAAAGCTAAATCCATGTCATATCTGCAAAGGAGAAATTCTAACACACCCACCCCAAGCATTCACAATATTATCTTGTGATCATATACTCCACCGAACCTGCCTTGAAAAACATATTATACGTACAGAATCACGAAGCCCCAAATGCCCAGT